AGAAAATGCCTCCATAAGACTGGGCTGCAGTTTATTTTCTTAATTAGTGATTGATGGGGGATGGTCCAGCACATTGTGGGTGGCCGGATGTCCTGGGTTCTATAAGACAGCAGACTGAGCAAGCCACCACGTGGTATTTTACCACGGCAATGGCAGCCCTACCTAAAACAGACCCGGTCTCAAGAAAGCCAAAACAACAAAATTTAAAGAAAGATCATTTATCGCCAAACAACCAAAACACACGAGTAAAAACAAACAAATGGACAGAAAACAGAAGAGTTGAAAGTGCTGGGAATGGGGGTCAGGGGGAAGATCTATTCTCGTGTTTCAGTGTTGGAACCTCTGGGCCGCAGAGAGAAGACAGGCTGCTCAAGAGAGAGCTTGGACAGCCCTGGAGAGTCAAGAATGAGACCAGTTGTAACCATTCATAATATGGCATCAGCTCTCTGGAGCAAAACATAGAAAAAGCTTTGCAAGTGTACGCCCTCTCTTGAATCAGAGAGAAACCAAGTTTGTCAGGAGGAAAACACCCACTAGGTGTCCACGGAAATGTGGTTGTAACTATGAATCTCAGAGGCCTTGATACTGGTGGTGATGATGATGGTGATAAGATGGTCATGACGATGACGGTGGTCATGATGATGGTGGTGCTGGCGGTTTCCATTATTACTGTCATCGTCGTCATCATCATCATGCATTTTCTGCAGTACTAGGGGTTGGGCATAGGGCTAGCCTGAGCTTCTCTGTTTCCAGCTGTTGACCTGTGCTAAAGGCTGCAGAGACTTTAAGAGATGGAGTCTTGCTGAAGGAATCAGGTCACTAGGGGTAGACCTTTGAAAGTTTCATTAGCTTCTGCCCAGAGCTCTCTGCTTCTTGATGGGTCAAGATGCGAAAAGCCACAACCACCACAAGCTACCTCTGCCAAGAACCCGTGTGTTATGCTTGGCTGTCCCTGCCATAATGGATATTCTGTGGCCCTCTGGAACCACGAGCCAAAATAAACCTCTCTTTCCAAGTTGGTTCTGATGGGTATTTTGACCGTAAAGATAAGAAGATTAACCGATACAAGGAACTCCATGGGCAACAGAGGATGGTCCTGAGCAACTCAGGAAGATCATAGGAACCCGTATTTCCCTGGTGTGCCACAGCAGGGCAGGAGCTGAGCATTGCTATGACCATTGCTTACAGTTAAAACACTGTAAATGGTAATGATAGGCTTTTATTGTTAGTTTTTTGAATGTCTTTCCTTCTCCTTTCTTTCTCTCTCTCTCTCTCCCTCTCTCTCTCTCTCTCTCTCTCTCTCTCTCTTTCTTTCAATAAAATGTTTGTGGCCGGGGCAATTTGACTCCCTAATTGACAGTTGTTAGAAGCTTCCCTTCTGCCCAGGCTGCCTTGAGCCCAGACTTGCTAGCCAAGCAGCCCCTATTTGGCAGCCAGCTGGACAGCCCTTATGCCAGCAGGCTGCTTTGAACACTTCACGGATGTCTTGAGAAAGCTACACTGCAACCACAGCTGTTTGCTGCCAAAGCACTGCTCCAGCTCCAAAAGGCACTGTTCCAGACACTTCTGTTTCAGATAGCTTGCACCAGACTCTTTGCCATGGGCAAGTCTTGGTGAATTCTCAGTTGTTTTTACCAAGACTAGACAGTCAACGTTTTCCAGAGTGGCCCAGAAAAATGCTTGTGATTGGTACAGACCTGGTCTTTCATCTGAATGGACCGTGCCGTGACTGCTGCAAATACAGTCTTTAATTTGTGTAAGCATTATGCCACAAGGCAAACACCCTTGCCTACTCTCTTTCTGGCAGTGTAAACTGGCTGTTCAGTACACTGTTGAGTCAGTCAAGAGACACCCTTATTTGCTGCCCCCTGGTGTTGTGACATTAGGTACATTAAAAGGGTTTCTTTCTTTTTTAATTGCTTCCTTTTTTGTCTGTTTGTTTGTTTGTTTTTGAGACAGGATCTCACTATGTAGCTCTGGCTGTCCTGGAACTAATTGTGTAGACCAGGCTGGCTTCGAACTCACAGAGATCCACCTGTCTCTGCTTCCTGAGTGCTTGGATTAAAGGTGTGTGCCACCACAACCAGTTTTTACTTTTCTTTTAAAACTTTAAACGAATTTAACATATATTTACACGTGGTGTGTGTGTGTGTGTGTGTGTGTGTGTGTGTGTGTGTGTGAATGCCTGCGTTCACATTCACAGGTCAGAGAACAGCTTTGTAGAGTTGGTTCTTTCCTTCCACCTTTACATGAATTCTGGGGAACCAAACTCAAGGGGCCAAGTATGCAAGCCAAGCCACTTGACCTTCTGAGCCATCTGTGGCCTTCCTTACTCACTTTTTATCTTTATCATTAGTAGAACAAGCTGAGCCGGGGGAAGACTGTGGAGACAGCCACGGGAGAGGAGCAGCTGTGACGGTGGCAGCCTCGGGAGTGGTGAGGGGGCAGCTGAAGAGTTGCAGAGAGCCCTGGGTGGGGAGACAGATATGACAGGGGCAATGAAGACCTGAAGATGAGAAACCGAGCCCAGGGAACTGCTGGGCCTTGAGTTCCCAGAGCGTCTGCATGCCAGGCTTGAGGCGGGAAACCTAGCCACAGTGGGGGCTGAGGAGCCCAGGAGCAGAGCTCTCACGCTAACAGGTGTTGCTTTTTGCTGACTGTTGCTGCCCGCTGCTCCTGCTCCCCGTTGGCAGCCAAGGGTTACGATAGTAGCCCTATGCCAGCGCCACCGGCAGTTAAAGCCAGAGCTGTAAGCCTCCAACCTAAAGAGTCTCTCTGGCTGCTGAAGCCTGGAGTAATAGGCCCCTGGGTCTCATGGTTTAGACCTGTGAGCCTCTGGGCTTGCCATTTCAGTCCTCAGGTTCTGGACACCCAAGGGCCTGGGAGGTCAAACATTAGATCTTTCCATCACCTAGCCAATGATTTCCATCCAGGTAGAGCAAAAGGGGCTCAGCAGCCAGCATCAATTTCTGCCAGGAACAGTGGGCCAACACCTACAAGACATTCAAAGGAAGGAAAATGTGGGCCAAAGATTCCATACAGTCAATGTAGCTTCAAGTGTGACAGCTATATACAAACATGAGTGTTAATCCCAGCACTCAGGAGGCAGAAGTATGAGGTTAAGGCCAACCTGACCTACATAGTGAGTTCCGCCTTGCCTCAAAAATAAGCAAAATTGAAAAACAAAAACAAACAAACAAGATCCCCACAAATGTTCTGTAATCCTAGCACTTGGGAAGCTGAGGCAGGAGGATTTAGAAGTCCAGGTCATCAGGTACATAGCAGGTTTGAGAGCAACTTAGTTTATGGGAGACCCTGTCCTCAAACAATGACAACAACAAAAAGAACCAAACATGGTGTTTTCTACCTGTAATCCCAGTCCTGGGGAGGCAGAGGCAGCAAGATTGAAATAAGTTCAAGGCTAGCCTGGTCTACACAGCACACAGCAAGTTCTAGACCCTTTCTCAAAAACCAAACAACAGGGGGCTGTGGAAAGATGGCCTGGCACTGGCTGCTCTTGCAAAGGACCCAGGCAAGTGCAGTTTCCATCACCCACATTGAGACTAAGACAGTTCCGGGGCACCTGTTGCCCTCTCCTGGCCTCCACAGGCACTGGGCACAGCCACTAACACACTTCCATTTCTACAGACAAAACCCTCAGACACATAAAAACAAACACGTACACTAGAAATTCTTTATTTTTTATTTTGTTTTATTTTGAGGCAGGCCCTCAGTATGTAGCCCTGGCTGTCCTGTAACTCACCCTGTAGACCAGGCTGGCCTAAACCTCACAGAGATCTGCCTGTCTCTGCCTCTTGAATGCTGGGATTAATGGTGTGCATCACCCACCACATTTGGCAAGAAATCTTTTTTTTTTTTAGTTGAAGTATGGCCTGGAGAGGTGGCCCAGCAGTTAAGAGCACATGGTGTTATTTCAGAGGGCCCAGGTTCGATTCTCAGTACACACACATGACAACTCAAAACCGTCTTTAACTCCAGTTCCAGGAGATCTGATACCCTCCTCCTTCTTCTCCAGCCATGCATGAGGTACGCAGACATGCATACAGGCAAACGCCCATACACACAAAATTTAAAAAAAATCATTTAAATAACAAAGCCCAAAACTTTGTATTTTGAAGAAGCGTGTGTGCAAAATGCTACCAAATGGCTAAATAAATAAATGAACAGTTTGACAGGGAGAAGGAGAGAGAAGAGATTAGCTTCTAATATATCTCCTACAAGTAGCTCAGGGTTTCTGGGTTTGCAATCCAACAAATTGGTAAGAGTTTTCCAGATTATCTTGGGAGAAAGAGGAGGAGAAAAAGAGAAAGTGTAAGAAAAGGAAAAAGGGAAAAAACAAAACAAACAACAACAAAACTCCCCCCCCCAAACAAAACCACGGCTAGTGAAGGCCAAAGTTTAGTGGGACTTACATAACCAAGAGTGGCGGTTCTCACCTGAACTCCCAGCTCCTGGGAGGTGGAGGCAACAGAATCAGAAGTTCGAGGCCATCCTTGACTACACAGTTAGTTAGAGGCTGGCCTGGGCTACATAAGACCCTGTCTTAAAATAAAAATTAAAATTATGTAAGTAAAGGAGACAGTATGGTGTTGCCTGTCTGTAATCCCAGCACTTGGGGAGACAGAGGCAGGCATAGCTCTGTTGAGTTCTAGGCCAGCCTGGTCTACAAAGGGAGTCCAGGCAGCCAAGGCTACACAGAGAAACCCTGTCTTGAAACACCAGGAAAAGAAGAAGAAGAAAAAGGAGGAGAAGGAGGAGGAGGAAGAGGAAGAGGAAGAAGGAGAAGAAGAATTTTTAAAAATATTTAAAAAAGTGATAGGCTTTTTTGTTTTTGTTTTGATTTTGAGACAGGATCTCACTAGAAACCCCCTCTGCCCTTGAACTGCATATGTTTATCAGACTGGCCTCTACTTCCTGGGTGTTAAGAATAAATGGATACTTGATTATTAAATTTTCAAATGTAAAGAAGATGAAACCCTGTACTCGCTAGGGCAGCACACTTACTAAAATTAGACCAATACAGAGGTGGTTAGCACGGCCCTGTGCAAGGGTGTCCAGCGAATTTGTGAAGTGTTCCTATTTTTGATTTGTTGCTAAGGATGCCTCTTAGCAGAGATGGGGCACTCTCTTAAGTGACATGTTAAGCCTACTTTGTTTATTGACGTAATGGAGCTTAGAAAGACCATGTAAGAAAAAGATACATTACCGCTTTTTCCTGCCTTGATCACTTCCAGTGAGTAAATGGAGGTTTGGAATTAAAAAAAGAAAAAGAAAAGAAAAAAGGAGGAAAAAAAAAGGAAAGACAATGAACCAGATGGTATAAAAGATATATAAGGAATAAAGAACAAAGTGGGAAATGGGTGTGTAAGTTTAATGGCTCATGGGACTTAAAAATACACTATCTCTGCAGCCCAAAGACCAGGTTCTTTCCCTCACAGGGCCCTGGGTGCAACGGTTGCAACAAGCAGCCTCCTTGGAGGTGTGCAGCCTGCACCTTGCTTGGGTTGCCCTGACAGGCCTTCAAGATATGTATGTCGCTGAGCTCATGCTGTCCCTACTCTAGACTGCACTGTAAGCCCAGGACCTTTGGGAACCCCAGGACACAGTAGCCAGGTTCACACAAGCCAGGTCATCATGTGCATCTGCTTCAGGCCACAGAATAAGGAACCTGTGATTGAGGCCCTGGGAAAGGCCAGGTTCAAGTTCTTAGTCACCAGAAGATTCACATCTCAAAGAACAAAGAATGGGGATTTCATCAAACTTAATGCGGCGAATTTGAAGTTATGGCAGCTGAGAAGCAGCTTACTGATGTTTGTGGGATCAAATACATCCCCATTCGTGATCCCCTGGACCAGTGGCGGCCTTCTGAGGGCTTCCACTGTGCCGAGTTCCACCTTCTGCCAATAGTGTTTACCAATAACTCTCGCACCCAAAACAAAGAAACGCATAAACAAATCCCAAAGCCAGATGTAATGGTTTGTGCCGCAGTCTTAGCACTTAGTGAGTGGAGGCAGAAAGATCAGCCTTTCAAGGCCAGCCTCAGCTACTGGACTTTGAGGCCAACCTGGGCTACATAAGAACCTGATTTTAAAGAGCATGCACCACCCCCCCAACTCCCATACTCACATACCAGGACACACGCATCATAGCATTCAGGAAGCTAAGGCAGGAAGGATGAGATTTCAAGGACAGAAACGGACACCATCTCAAAAACTAAATAAATAGAGTAACAGCAAAACAAAACCGCACACACAAAAAGCCTAAATAAACGGAGAGCTATCTCATTACCATGTTTATAAACTAGAAGATTCAATATTGATAAGATGTTGATTCTCCTCTGATTGATCTATATATTCAACAGAATCTTGCATGAAACCTCAACAGTCTGTTTCTCTAGAAGTCAGCAAAGAGACGCTAAAATTCACATAAAAATTCAATCATGCAGTGGAGCACACTTAACATACCAGATCTGGGGAGGCTGGGGCAGAAGAAGCATCTTAAGCTTGTAGCCTGTGTTATTAACACAAACAAACAAAGCCTCCATAACTGTCCTTATGGATGGTTGTAAGCCACCATGTGGGTGCTGGGAACCAAACCCAGCTCCTCTAGAAGAGCAGCCAAGGGCTCTTAATTGCTGAAGCACCATCTCTCCAGCTCCTGTGTCCTAATTTCTGGATCAACCACTGCAGTCTACGATCAAGGGCACAAGAATGTAGCTCAGTGAACCTTCAACACCGTTTTTAAGAGCTGAGGATCTCTCTAGGACAGCTAACTTCCAAGCTCTCCTGCCTCAACATATGGGGTAGCTGGGACAAAAGGTATCTGTCACTGTGCCTGGCACACTGAATGTTCTCAGAGTGTGGTCAGCTGGAGCAGAATCATCGTTACCTGGAACCTTGACCCTGGGTACCCAGGGTTCACTTGGGAATTCACCACTGCAATAAGCTCGTCAGGACATGTCATCTGCATGCTGGAAACTCAGCTCTGATTGCTGACATCCGGTTAGATTCCCGACTGCTGGGGGGAAAGCTGCTTTTCTCTGCGTGGATTCTCATGTTCGGTTCAGATGCACTGTGCCAGAGTGTGAGCACCACGCCTTCCTGGCGTGAATTCGGTGTCACCCGGCATGGTGCTGGTCCTCTAGCACCTGTCCTAACACCGAGGTAGAAGCTGCAGATGGGAGGAAAGCAGCTGTAGGCCAGCCTGACCTATGCCGGGGAAGGGAGAGGCTCTGCAGTCAGGGAACAGGCTATAATGAACTCTTAGCTGAAGTCCACTCGCCGCCTAGGACCTGCACTGGAGCTGCAGATCCTGGATTCTAGGTTTTCTTCTGCACCCAACCTTACATTTTATATTTTTACATTTGTTTGTTTCTTTCTTTGGTGTGTGTGTAGATACCCACGTATCACAGCTTGCATGTAGAAGTTAGAGGAGAATTTTTTTCAGGGGTTGGTTTTCTCCTTCCACCATGTGGGTTCAAGGGATTGAACTCAAGTGGTGCTCAGTTCTCCACCACCACTCCCATACCCCCAAGACTGGAGCAGTCCCTTGCTTCTTCTTCTTTATGGCTGGCTGACTTCTTTTACGACTTGTCAACGCCCCATTTACTTGGGCAATTCTTTCACTACCGTCCCCCGCCCCCACAAGGTTCTTTAGAGTGGGGCATCCTGGGCACTGAACAAAATCCTTGGTAGGTACTAATTGGATGACGCCTCCCTGCAGCAAGGCAGGACACAACCTGCGTGAAGACGCTGAGACCACAGTGGATCCATCAAAGAGAGGACCTCACTCCCCAGGGAGACCCACAGAACTTAGGGAAAGCCTCATCTGTGGCTGAGGTTAAAGAGGTGGCAGAGGAACACCCCAGGGCAAAAAGGGCGCTGCAGAGCCCTAGCGGGCACCCAGCGGCGGACTCAGTATCCCCAACTCCTCCCGGTGGACCCTGGAACGGCCCTTGCAGCACTAGGTCGCACTAGGCCTCCGTGCCCCGCGAGGGCGCTCCAGGTCAGTCGTCCAGCGCAATCCCGCTCAGCCGCGGCCGCTCTAGCGCGGCGGTGGCGCGGGGCGTGTCGGGAAAGCGGCGGGCTCGTGCGATCCTCGGTGGCGGCGGCAGCGGGAGCAATGGTGGGTGGCGAGGCCGCCGCCGCGGTGGAGGAGCTGGTTTCCGGCGTGCGGCAGGCCGCCGACTTCGCCGAGCAGTTCCGCTCCTACTCGGAGAGCGAGAAGCAGTGGAAAGCACGCATGGAGTTCATCCTGCGCCACCTGCCCGACTACCGAGACCCACCGGACGGCGGCGGCCGCCTGGACCAGCTCTTGTCCCTATCCATGGTCTGGGCCAACCACCTCTTCCTGGGTTGCAGGTGCGGACCCCCCCCTCCCCGCCCCCCGACGGTCGGCTGACCCCGTCCCCATGTGCCGATCCTCTACTTGGCTGATCCCCTCTTGGCATTCCCTCGGGAAGGACGTATCTCTTCTCTGAGCCTCGCTTTTCGAGAATGGGTGGTTGTGATGACTACAGCAGTTAAGTGGTGGAGAATGCGATGCAGGTGGGCTCTAAGGCGGCAGTGTTGCTATGGTAACTTTTATTACAGTTTATTAGCCCAGAGGATTTCCCCTGCGGAGTGTGTTTGAAGTCCGTTAGCTCCTGTCACCTACATGGCAAAAGTGCAACTAGAAACCCAGACTTCCCCCTCACCCTCTGGATGGAGACAACCTAGCAAGAGGATGTGATATATCGCACCGTTGGTGGGTTTCATCACTAAAGCAAAGTAATGTTTACTCCCCTTTGTCCTCTTTGCATTCCCTCTTATGAAAGTGACGGATGCCTTCTGGTTGCTGTCCCGAAGCCTACTGAGCCTCCGCGATCACGCCAGAAAGGCAAGAGCCTGGCTTTGAGATTCCTGACAAGGCATTCCTTTACTCCGCCTGGAAAAAGCCCCCTCCCTTTTTTTTTTTTTTTTTTTTTCTTACACTCCCTCGTTTCTTTATTTTTAATTTAAAGCAATCTTCCTTTAGGCCTCCAGTTTATGGTGTAGTCCAGGTAACCCTGGAACTCCATCCTCCTAAGCACCGTGTACTGAGGTTTCAGGCATCCATCTCCAAGCTCTGAAGGCCTTCTAGGGAGGTTATGATAACTTCACTCAGACCTGATTTTTGTGTTTTCTACCTGGTCACATGGCCCCTCCAGGCCACAGCACTTGGTTTGCTTTTGGGGTTGTGCTAGGAATGAAACCAGGGCCGTTACACATACCGAATAAGTACTCTGCCACTGAGCTTCACCCCCAGTGCTGAAGCTCCTTGGTTTCCGATCTTGGGATATTTGTCAGAAGAGGGTGTGGGGAAGCTGTGCCAAAAACACCCATCACACACACAAGCCCACCCTCCCTTCTGCCCTCTAAGTGCCCTGTCAAAGCCTAGTTTACAGGAACCAAACCCAGACGGATGACTGAGAACTGAAGAAAGGAACAAACGGTGTTATTTTCATGAGACTAATATTATGTGTTTTAACAATAATCCAGTTTTTGACCCTCAGACCTCATCCATGAATAAGTACTGCTAGATGTATGGTGCTCCTTTTTTTGTAATTTTATTTATTTATTTGTACTTATTTCAAACTTTATATGGGTGTTTTGTCTACACATATGTCTGCACCATGAGAGTGCCTGATGCCTGTGGAGGCCAAAAGGGGGCTTTGGAGTCCCTGGAACTGAAGCTGCAGGAGGTTTTGAGCCACCATGTGGATGCTAGGATTGAAACTGAGTCCTCTGGCAGCAAGTGCTCTTAATTGCCAAGTCATCTCTCCAAATTCCTGTTTTTGTAATTAAAAAAAAAAAAAGATTTGTGTGGCTATGTAACAAATGTGTATTCAGTATCCTCAGAGGCCAGACGAGGGCGTCGGATCTCGGAGTCCTGAAAGTACAGCCCTGTAGGAACTGAGTCTCAAGTGCTGCTCTTAGCTGCTGAGCCATCTCACCTGCCTGTTTTTGTAGTTCTTGAAACATCTACTACATTGGGGTTCTCCAAGCCTAGCTCTGTACCCACAGGCAGGAGGAACTATCTGTTAACCCTGTGCTGAGCACCTTGGTTTTCCCCGCACTCTCAGATCAGTCCTGGCAGGACATCCTATCGTATAGCGGTGTGCGTCTGTTATCCCAGCCACTGAGAAGGCGGAGGTGGCTCATTGCTTAAACCTCAGGCGGCATAGCGTGACCCGTCAATGAACAAGCAGTTGTGTACCCGAGGAGCAGCATTTACGGTCTAATAACCTACCCCTTATGACCCTAAGGGACAGTGAGCCTCCTCAGGTTTTGACCTTGCTGCTTTTTATTGTGCAGTTACAATAAAGACCTTCTGGACAAGGTGATGGAAATGGCTGATGGGATTGAAGTGGAGGACCTGCCACACTTTACAACCAGAAGTGAGCTAATGAAAAAGGTAATAAGCGTTTCCAAGCGTGGAGGTGAAGGTCCCAGCTTCGACTCTGCATCAGGCTGTTTTTGAGCACTCTTGTTTCCTGCTCCAGTCTCAAGTCCTTTCATTAGTTCTTCACAGTTGGTGTAAACCTTTTCCTAACGAGGCAACAACCCAGCGTGATAAGTTATGCATCGTTGGCGGAGTAACACATAGGCTCGCTCTCTTAGGTTTGTCTAGAATCCTTCTTTTCTCTTGGTGCCAGGGATTGAATGCTGTGTCAATTGGGAGGGCCCTAAAAAAAAAAAAAAAAAAAAAAACTAAAGTCATTTTTCCAGCTGTACTCCTGGAGGCCTCTGAGTAAACATAGCTGAGATTTCACACATTCGTGTTTACGGCTGCACTGCTCACAGCTTTGATACCCACCACTAGACAAGTGGATAGTGAAAATGGAGTCCGCGTACACTGTGGGATTTTGTTCTACTGTAAAGAAAAACAAAATTGAGTGTTCACAGAAAATGGATAGAAATGGAGATCATTATGTTAAACAAACTAGAACAAAAAAAAAATACGTTTTCTCTCACAGGTGAAATGGAGGCTTAAGTGCGTGCGTTAGTTTGTGTTGATGAGAACTGAGCCTACAGCACTGTATGGGTGAGGCAAGTGCTTTACCCCTGAGCTGTCCGTCCAGCTTTTCCTTTTTATTTTTTTTCACACAGGCAGGTGTTGACTATTAGCCTGGTGGGCCTTGAGCTTGCAGTCCTCCTGCCTCTGCCTTCCTGGTAGTCTAGAGGTCAGATCTCTATGCCCAGGCCCAGCTGCTTTGCTTATTTCTTTAGGTTTGTTTGTTTGAGACAGGATCTTGCTCTACAGCCCTGGTTGGCCCGGAACTCACTATACCAGGCTATTCTCAAACCTGGTATGGTCCTCCCGAGTTCTGGGGTTATAGATATACACCCCCAGACTTGCCTTGTTTTGCTCCTTTAAAAAAAAAAACAAAACAAATCTTGGTTAGAGTGCTAAAGTTAGAAGTACTTCATTTTAGAGTAATTCATACAGATTATCTCTTGCCTCAGCAGGCCAGAGCTGGACCAGACTCATGTGGACTCTCTGATAAGGACTGTGGTGGGGTAGTGTCCAGACACCACAGCTGTGTCCTGCTCCTCGGGACGTAGTCTTGTGGCTGTGGCCTTGTACACAGTGAGCTTTGCCCCAGAGCCTTACAGTCTGGATCCTGGGTCCCTGAGGCCAGGGAGAGGCAGAAGAACTTTGGAGAATCAGACTGTGCTTCCCAGCTGTGCACCTCCGGACATGTGTTTTTTTTCACATCTGTCCTGGACTCTTCAGGCAGCAGAATTGCTCCCTTGTTTCCTTAAGTCCCTTTGATATTTACCCAGGTCTCTTAGATAAACTTCAAATTATTTATTTGGGTAGTAGAAGATTTACTACTGAGCATGACTCGGGAGATAGTGTAGCCAAATAGGAGCCAAGCCCACAGCCAAAGCAGAAAGACTACTACTCAGTTACAGCTCTACAGATTTACTTGCACTAGGCAAAGCCCCACATCTGTGGGATGTGGGTTTCCGGCAGCCGGTGAACTCCAGGTCGAGCTTACACAAGGCGTCCCTCACATGCTCCTTATTCTTAGTTTAGTGCAGAAGGACACGATGACCTAGCTGGTGGGGACCCAGGCCACTGTGTTCTGGGGTTTCCCAGAGATATCTGTCTGGAGCCTGTAAGCCCAACACAGAACAACAGGACAACATGTTATTGATATGGATAACGCGGATAAAGTGGAGCCATGCTCATATATGAAAGCCATGTTTGCACAGACATGGCTGGGGACATGTATGCCAGGGTTTTGAAGGAGCCAGCGTGTAGAGACAAAATGGGGATTCTTCCATTTGGTCTTCTGCGCTAAGTCACAGGTGTCAGTCTTGGGCCGGTGAGATGGCTCAGCAGATGAAGGTGTTCGAAGGCAAGCTTTATGACTCGAGACCAGTCACTGGAATCCTCATGGTGGGAGAGAGCTGTCTCCTGAAAGTTGTCAGCTAAACTCCACACGTGCTGTGGCTTATGCACATACATGAGCACACACAGGGAAATAAATGCTAACAGTGTAAACGAAACAACAAGCGAGTCTTCTAGGAGGCCGGGATGTGGCTCAGTGACAGAATGCTTGCCTAGATTTGATATCCTCTAGCACCCCAAAAAAACAAAGTCCTGTAAATAAGCCCTTCCTGTCACTCACTGTGACTGGTTTGTGTGCTGTAGAAGTCACCTTGAGAGTCCTGTGCAGAGAGTCTGTCTTCAAAGTAGTTTGTCCTTCCCTCCATGTCAGGTGAAGCTGAAGAGTACTAGGCCAGAAATCTGAAAGCCCCATCATCATGCCAGCCTGACTTGGTCCTCTAAAATTAGTTTGGTTGGGTTTTAGAGTTAGCTGGCATATGGAAATAAATTGCTCAGTATTGGCACCTCGAGACCGGGCAATGATGATAACTTAGACATAAGCTCTGTGCAGTAGGGTTTTAAAAATACATTTTGTTGCCTTCTTGCAGCTTTTGGGCAGGTGTATCTGTCTGTCCAATTTTTTTTTCTTTTTAGTCAGAGGAGTGAGTGTGACAGGTGGGCTTTGCTCAACAGTTGGAGTGTGTGATCTGTTCTGAAAGACAAGCATATTGAGCAAACAGCCTTGGCTATCTAAGTAACAGCCAGGGCTAGCCTGCAGCCTGTAGCCACTGTGGCTGCTGCAGGGGCAGTGACAGCGTCAGTCAACTCAGGAAGGGCATTACCGCAGCTGCCTTCACTGAGTCAGTCAAGAAGAGCCAGCTGTGGTGGCATCACCTTTAATCCCAGCACTCTGGAGGCAAGTGGATTTCTGTGAATTTGACGTGAGGCTGCTCTGCAAGTTTAGTTCCAGAACAGGTAGGGCTAGGTAGAGAGAGACTCTGTCTCAAGCAAACAAACGAAAAAACGAACCGTGATTGACAAAGACGCTGTCGTTGTTGGTTCAAAGACATCGCTAACATCATAATTTGATTTGTCTCCTGAGAACATTATCCCACAAGGAAAGACATCAGTATGAAAGTGACAAAGGTAACAAAAGCAGGTGTGCCTACAGACCTTGCACAGTCTCCGCCAGCTCTGAGGCCATGTTTTCATGAAAGCCATAAACCGGACATGGGGTCCACACCTTTATTGCAGCATTCCAGAGGTGGAGGCAGGAAGATGAGGAGCTGAAGGTCATCCTTGGCTATGGAGCCAGTTGGGAGACAAGCCTGGGCTAAGCAGATCCTGTCAGGGAGAGGGAAGAAAACTGGATCTGATCCTGTGGGCCAGTCTCGTAGCTCAGAGTCCAGGATGGGTGGATCACCTGAGAGCATTGTGTGGAGAAGGCAGTGTCCTGGCTCTGTCCAGGTGAAAATTTGAGTGACGGGCTGGAGAGGGGTGGCTCAGTGGTTAAGAGCACTGGTTGCTCATCCAGAGGATCCAGCTCAAGTCCCAGTGCCTACATGGTGGCTCATAATCACCTCTAGCCCTAATTCTGGGGAGTCTAACTTCCTCTCCCGGCACCTCCCCAGGCACCAGGCATACACTTGGTGTAGACATACATGAAGACAAAACACCTGTATACATGAGGTAAATGCTTTTTAAAAAGAAAATCTGAGCGAGATGGCTCAGGGATGTCTCCCCTGGACTGCATGTAGCTGGTTTCTTGGGTCTTACTGCATTCTTCTGGGAGTAGAAAGACTCGCATTTTATCTTTGCTGAGGATTTTTGTAGCTAGGAAATAGGTCATACCTTGAAATCTCTGATTACTAAAAACACTTTGAAGTTGATTCACTGATGCTGCTCAGTGTTAAGGGAATCCATTCAAAGGCAAGGTGACGGTCAATGAGTTCTTCACACCCTCCTTAAAAGTTTCTAAGCCAAGTTTAAATGTACTGAAGGTGCTAGAGAGCACCCGGAAGGAATCTGCGGGCCCCAGGTTACTGCTGTTCCCAGACTCGCTTTTTACAGTTTCTAATTGTGTGAATTCCAGAAATACATAACCTTCACATCTCCTAAGTGTCCTGACTCAGTGTGGAGTGCTACAAATTACCACCTGAATCTGGCCGTGTTGAATTTAGAACAGTGAGCGTGAGAGCAGAGGCTGGCGGCAGGACTAGCATTTTAGGTATTTCCGTTATCACTTTACATTGTGAACACTTACAGACAGCAAGCCACAAGTCAGGGAGGTAGGGTTCTGGCTCCCAAATGGATCATGTGGTCAGTGTTTAGCTAACATTTTCTGTATGTAGTAAAATATTAATAATCTCTGAGTAGACTTGCCATCTGGGTGGCACATAAATATTCTATCACTGCTTTGTTTGAATGTGTGAAGATAGACTTGATTCACGGGACTCGGTGGCTGTGTAACTTTTTCTCTTTTCTCCGCAGCATCAAAGCTAAGGCAGATCTCCACATCTCCACCCTGGGGACGTGCTTGGAAAGGAGGCCGGGGTGAAGGTGACTGAAACATGGCAGCTCCTGAGATTCCTGTGTTTAGAGCATAGAAGCAGCTGGAATGGAAAGGGACCTGGCTACAAGGGCTTCAAAGAAGTCTTCGTTCTTCCAGAAGCTGTGCTTTAAAAGTACATGTGCAAATTTATGTATTTATAAATAGCAAACTGTCAGAAATTTCATCGGCATTGCCTAAGCCAAACTTTGTTTTAAATGCCTTTTATGTTGATAGAACAATGACGGGATGAATTTTGTAATTTGATTTTTTTTTTCTTGTAGCGGAATACCTTTAATTGTAATTCTGGGTTTTGTCCTACCCCTATCCATTTTTGTCCTGAGGCAAGCCAGATCCTCTATGTCCTTATTTCTTCCTGAACCCACTGTCTACTTGTACCTCTCTGCCGATGGCCACTGAAGGGCTGTGCGCTGGCTGACTATGTCACTGGAGCAACCCCACTGCTGAGCTCACATTGCAGGCCTGCAGTAGCCAAGCTAGCTCATAGGTAGGAGGCAACTTACAAAAAAGCAGCTGGCCTCATTTTACAATTCACTATGGGCTAGAGCTGCAGCTCGGATTTAGAGTGCTCGCTTGGCTCGCTTGAGGGCCTAGGTTTGCAGAGAGAAAAAAGCAGCTAGTTAGAGTAAAAATTGCTGGAAGTATCTATGGCTTTGTCCAGCCAGCTAGCTGACTTCTAGACTCTCTAGGTCTCCCAGGCTGCCCATGTGCCTCTTTGTTTCTAGAAGGCTTTCACACTTAAAGAACTGCCTTGCACATCCCCTGTAGACTGTAGTGCGATCCTGCTGTGCTGAGATGGTGCTGATACTCCCCCCGACAGCTGATCATCTGTTCTGATCTGCCCCTTCCGGTTCCCTCTGTTTAGTCACCATTAGGTAAATGCCTGAGCTGTGGGCAGCAGTGGAACAGTGTACCCCAGCAGGACTCGTCAATGGCAGGCCTGTCGTGGCCAGAAAGACGGTGGGGTCTGCCTTAGCTTCATCCACTGCACACAGGAAGCTGGACACCCAGCAGGTTTGACGTCAGAGCAGCGGGCCGCCATTCTCGTTTGTGGCTTGAGATGAAGGCCACATCTTTAATGGCTTTATCTCCAGAGACCAGGAGGGTAGACCGAGCCAAGATCGCCAACTTGTAGCCATGGACAGACTCCTCCAGGTCACGGAAGTCAGACCCCCTGTCACAGGGTGATGGTAAGGCAGTGAGCCGGAGAGGCATGCGCTCTGTACTCATTGCCTGAGATGTGTCCGCTCCTCAAAAGCAGCCTAGCCTTCCGCCATTCTAATCACTTGTGCAAATTTGTGAGCTTGAAAACAAAATGAAAAATTGTGACAATTCATTTTAAAATGCACTTTCCATAGATTGTTGATTTTATCTTCTATATACAGCCCCCCAATAAAACAGTTTTTCCATTGAATGAAGTTAGGCTTGAGTTGTGTGATTTCTTCCCTTCCGTTTACTTACTGATGTAGGTAGTTGGACAGCCAGAATCAGGAAGTGGAACTGGCTTGTACACATGGTGGCTTGGGCCCAGCATGGCACAGTCTGTTGCCTTCTGTTCTGTCCCTCCAGCCTTTTCTTTTTTGCTTTTCTTTTGTTGTGGTGCTGATGATAAACCCAGGGCCTTATTTGTGTTAGGTAAGGGCTCCATCATTGTTTTTGAGAAAGTTTTCTCCATTTTCTTAGCTGAGCTGCCTGCCTCTTCTTATTTTTATAGCCTGGTGGTTGACTCACCTATAAAAAAATCAGTATTTTATTCTTTATGTTTTCCCAAGCTTGAAGTGAGAGAGTGAGGTCATATGGAGGGACACCATAAAGCACACGTTCAAGTCATGCCCAAGAGGACTTCCCTGACAGTGTGTATCAAGTGAGAGCTGAAGCTTCGGGTTGGAGGTGCTCAGGCTGGAGATGCTGCACCCAGAAAATTGTTCTCTGCAGTGTTCCCGAGGTGCCAGTGGCCCACGCTGGGGCCGTGGCTCAGCTGGTAGTGGAGGTCGTGGATCTGCACCAGCACCACAAAAACAGGGTATCATGGGCCGTGTCTATAATTTCAGCACTATGGAGGTGGAGGCCTGAGAGTCAGAAGTTCAGGGCCATTCTCAGCTGATACTGAGTTCAAGTCTAGCCTGGGCTACATGTGACCAAGTCTCAACGGAGAAAATAAATTTCATCTGATGTAATCTCTGTCCTTAAAGGATTCCCTCTGAGCTTTCCCAGGATGGTGTGAACTACTGTGAGAAATGACTGTCCTCTGGCTAATGCTTTGTAGTAAAATGGTGCCCTGTCTGAAGTTAGACTCCTGTGCTGTCCACTTGAGCTCTGAAGGATCTGGGCAGCAGTTATGGTGGCACAGTAATTTCATAACTTACTAACTAGACTTCAGTCATAGAGAAATTCATTTCAACAAATACTGAAGAAAGAAACCTCTTACCTTGTGTGTATAAAATGAACTCCCAAGTTCGTTCATTCTTTCTGAAAGGTCACACACTGTTGGGCCAGGTAGGGGAAGGGTAGCCAGCAGCTGGGCAGTCTGTGGCATATGCTTGTCAGAGATGGAGGAACCTGGATACCCACACTCTGAGACAGCTGAGGAAAGCAGGCTTTTTTTTTTCTTTTGAGATTTATTTATTGTTTATATAGCATTCTGCCTGCACACCAGAGCTCACTATAGATGGTTATAAGCCACTAGGTGGTTGCTGGGAGTTGAACTCAGGACCTTTGAAAGAACAGCAAGTGTTCTTAACCTCTGAGCCATCTCTCCCACCCTGGAAAGCAGGCTTTAAGCTTAAGCTTCGTTCTGGCCTTCTACCCTCACTTGCCTGGGGGATGTCACTGCTAGAGGCTTAAGAACCCATCTTCATCTTCCTCTGGTTTAAGATTATTTTCATTTTATGTATATGGGTGGAAGTCCGAAGAGGGTCCCAGATCCTTGGATCCAATCTCCTGGAACTAGAGTTATAGTTGTGGGCTACCATGTGGGTACTGGGAATTGAACCCAGGTCCTCCAGAAGAGCAGTCAGTGCTCTTAACCACTGAACCAGCCCTACCTCCCTTGGTTTAATAAAGGTGCAATTAGAGGTCATCCTTGAGCTATGTGGGGCTGGTGACTAACTGCTTTGCTGTTAAAACTGCCATCGAGATTTATTCCTCATGGGCTGTGTTATTTCACTCTGACCGTTTTTGAGTCTTGACATGTATGTAGTCCTGGCTGGCCTGGTACTTTCATCTGCCTCAGGCTCCCATGTGCTTAGGGTGACACACGGAATTCATAACAGGTTTGGACCTTGGTCTCTTAAGTGCTCATTCAGTTGTCCACAGTGGTTGTGTGCCTGCAGACACTTCCTACTGCCAGCGCCCTCATGGAGGCTTTCACCAAACAGGGCTCCCCTTATTGGAGGAGAGCGTGGTAAGCCAGTGTCTGTATGTGTCTGAGTGTGCTTCTGTTCTGTCCCGGTCTCCACTGAGGCCACACTGGAACATGCTGGAAGCAAAGCTCTTGACAAGCTTGGACTCACACAAAAGAGAAGCCACTTCACAAGCTGCTCCATGCAGAAGATCCAGTTTGCCAAAGAAACTACGTGGGGCTAGAGGTGAGGGCCTGCCTAAGGCGGGCACGAAGGCCCGAGCTTCTCTCCAGCACCACATAAACCAGGCATGTTTGTGCACACCCACAATCCTAGCAACAAGAGGATCAGACGCTAAAGGTCATCCTTGACTATACACCAAGCTCAAGGCCAGTCTGGGCTACAGAAGACTGTTTTTCTAGCACACACAACCAAATGTGTGATAACCAAAGGCAGGAAGGTGAATATTTTGCCATCAAACTCAAAGCCGCGGTGCTGGCTTTGCTTGGACCCTAAGGAAGAGTCCTCCCTCCGAAGGAAGCCTTTTATCCCATTCTGCCTGACGCAACACCTTGGTGTGCACACATGGGGACCAAGGTGGGTCACAGCACAGCAGGACGACACAAACTAAAGCTGCTAGCACGCCAGCATCCGCAGTGCCGTCCCTCAACTCTGCCAGTGTGCTACCAGGTGCGGCAAACACATCTTTTTCTATGGAAAGGGAGAGGCTTAGACTGAGGTGATAGGTGATGGGTTTCCTGTTCCTTTTCTTTGAGCCAACCCTGTTCTAAAGTTTCCCAATTCCATTCTCTAAAATGACTTTACACGGGCCAACCAGAGCTGCGAGCCTCTTTATTTGACAGTCTTCAGGAGCGCCGCTAGGCTAGTTCAGCTGGTGAGCAGTGGTATTCTTGGCAAAAGGTCTTGTTTGTAAAGGGGCAACTTTCTCCTCTGGGTTTCAGAAAGGAAGCAGGCGTAGCCAAGTCTTTGCTCCTAAGAGGGCAGCTGAAGTGCACTGTCTTCATTCCAGCAGCTTTCAAGACATAGTAGAGAAAAGTCTTTCTCAGGTTCTAAGAATGATGATGAATGAATTCAGTCAGACTCTGATCCTCTTTAAGTTCCCAACCAACCACATTTCAGGGATTCACTTCCAGATCAGTCAAGGTCTACTGAACAGTTAAGAGGCATCTACTGTTTGTATTGGGGGTGTGGGGGAGGGTGTTGCTAGGGAATCAAACACTGAACCACACACACATCCAGCCCAGAGGTGTGGGTTTTTTTTTTTTTTTTTTTTTTTTTTTTTGTAACTGTCACTCTGTAAATTTGTAAATTCATTCCCTGGTAAACTTAGCTATCTGCTCTCAGCAAGACACTGTCAGATAAGTCCCAAGTGGCCAGAGCGTTAGTTACATAATCAACGGCAGTTAAATCCTTCCACAGGCAAGTTCCTCATCCAAGTCTGAACCTTTCATATACCAAAGAGGACACCTGGAGCTAATGCTGAGCTGTGTGTGGACTGCTGACAAGCTGGTTTGTAAAGGACGCAGGCCATTCATCCTTTTGACCCAACTAAAATCAACTCCCTAACCATTCTATGCGCAGATGAGAAGAAACTTGAAAACCTCAAGACAGCACAAAGACTATTTTTAAAAAGCTATAGTAAATGATGAGATAGATTTAGTAAAATTGGCACCTGTATTCAATGATGCCTTCTTTCCTTAAAGGCTAGAGGAAAGGCCAATCCTTTCCATCAAATGACTTCTGGTATCTCTGCTTTGTCATATACTTAGATGGAAAAATGATCTACATGGAAAAGGATAGTTGCTCATTTTCTCCAGAACAAGGTGGAAACTAAAGACAGCCACAACTGTTCTAAGTCTCTCTCCTGACAATTCTGCACAACAGCTTCAACTACTAGACTTCTCTTTACACACTTATGACAAAGGCTATGGCTGGACACAATAGAAAGAACTATGATTCACACCGTCTACTCCCAAAACTAGGAAAATTGAGACATCAATGCATTCTAGGGCTTGGTAATACAGCTCACTGAAGAATACTCGCATAGCATGCGTTTTGAGTCCCAGCAACTCAAAACAGACAGAACCCTGAGTCCTACCCATTTGAGTTCAAATGTTTATTTCTAGAGGTAGGGTCTTACTCACTGCCAGCCTCAAACTCATGGTAATCCTCCTGTCTTGGCCCCCAAGAGCTGACACAGGCACAGCCCACACACCACATCCATATTATATCCACGTTCTTTTAAAAATCTTTGTGTATCTGTGCCCCTGAGAGCTGGTGCCCACCGGGCAGAAGTTTCAGGCCCTTTGGAGCTGAAGTTACAGGTAGTTGAGAGCTCCCTGGCATGGGTGCTGGGAATTGAACTTAAGCCCTCTTCAAGAAGTGTATGTAGCTGGGTTCAATGGTGTGAAAGTGGAAAACCACGACAAAGAAAACTTTTTCACTGGATAGTCTGTTGTAACTCTATCAAATAAAGCATTTCTTCAGAAGTAAAATTCCAGTTGGACATGGTGGCATCTGTAATCCCAGCACTTGGGAGGCAGAGGCAGGTGGATCCCCGAGTTCGAAGCCAGCCTGGTCTACAGAGTGAGTTTCAGGACAGCCAGAGCTACAGATACTCTGTCTCCAAAACAAAACAAATTCCCCTTAACATTCTTTAACGGTTCAGGGCTCAGACTACTTCAAAAACCAGCTTTTTTTCTAGCCGGTTGACCTGAGACACCTTTCTCTAGTTCCCTGGCCTGTAATTTAACAGGGCCCAGCTTTATGCTTAAATGAAACCTGAAGTGCTACGAGCATTACTCTCCACCAGGCCCTGTTACTGAGGAAACATGAGCACATCTAAAGCCTATGCAAATCCACCCCAAAACATTAGTTCTAGCTTCTTACTGTACAGACGTTACCTAGAGTAAAAAGGAACATTCTTGTATGGTAGCACTTATCAGTTAAAGATTCAGATCTGGTACTCCGCCAAAGACAAAATAGGAGTGGCTAAGAGAACCTTTCTAAGGACTGTCTAAGTCAGAGGGGCCACACAGACCCCAGGTGTATGAACTGAGCAGCTGGGCTCACCATCTGACATCATTCCCTTTAACTGTTTACCAAGTATTGAAATGTTTGTTTTCACCTGCGTGAGAAAAAAAAAAAAAAAATGGTCAAGAATAAATATGGGAGCCAGGGGCACTGGTGCACATCTGTAATGCTAGCACTCAAAAGGCAGAGGCAGGAGGATCTCTGAGTTCGAGGCCAGCCTGGTCTACCAGCTGGGCAGGAAGTCCAGGACAGCCAAGGCCACACAGAGAAACCCTGTCTTGAAAACAAGTAAAAAACAAAACAAACAAAAAACCACCCCAGGATCCTCCCCAACTTCCCAAGGTTAAGCAGGTCATGTGCCACCATGACCAACTTACTTGATTTTTGGGTAGCATTTTAATTACGTATGTATCTTTGTGTGAGTGGGAGTGCCAGGGTCTGAGTTAGTCAGCAGCTCTGGATAGCCCTGGAGCTCGAGTTCCAGGCAACTGTGAACTGCCTGCCTGAGGGGGTACGTGCTCTTAACCACTGAGCCATCTCTTTTAGACCCTTGGGGTAACAACTTCTAAAGAAGCATCAGTTCTTATCCATCCCAGTTTTAAACTTTGCTTGTAAACAGAAGTCACAGTCACCCTGCAACCCAATCTTCCAACAGAGAGGCTACCAGAGGTCTCTAGGAGGCTGGTACGGATGACAAGAAACTCAGGCTCACTCACTGCAATAGCTGTTTCAACTACTAGAGAGACTACACAAGTGGTTCAACAGAATTTACTTGTATATTTTTCATTTTCTATACTATTTGGAGGCATAGGATAGCTTTGTATTGGCTTTCTACAATACTGTGTTTTAAATCTACGCAGTAAACTAAGATGCAGTACAGCTTGTACACAACTGAGGGTGAGAAGCAACTCGGCAGGCCCTGGAGCTCAACAGTTCCCGAATAAACAGCGCGCAGCTGCACGAAAAGGTAGTTTGCAAATATTCAAGTTACACCAAGATTCTTTCCAAATCTCTGCCTTGCTCAAACCAACGCAACCGGCCAGGGCTAATACTGCAGCACAGCGTCTGGGAAGTGGTGATGGTTTTACTTTCTTCTGAATCAAAAGCCTGTGAAGTACTGCCACACAGCAGAGCAAGTCGGCTCTGCCCGTGGTGGAGGTGCCAATTGTGAAGTCACAATAGGTACAGTTTAACATGAGAAACACACGTTAACAAGTGGCCCAAATACAGAGCTGGACAGAATCAGACCAGTAAGTCTATAATTACTCAACTCAACTAACATAAGTACATTCAAAATAAAGCCGGAGATCAGAATTGGTTTTGGAATCAAATTTGCAGACTTTCTTGATAGACAGAAGTGTGATCTTCTGCAGTTGGAAATGAGGCTCTCACCTGGCGGGGAGCTAGAGACTGCACAGTCCCTCCTGCACAGGTAAGGAAATAAGTGACAAAGTCTCTTGCACTGAAGTTATGTATTTTAACAGCTTTACATGTAATATTCATATATAAAAAACTTTAAGTGTTTTTCTCCAATTTAAAAATCTAAAGAATTCAAAAATAAGGCATTCAATATTTGAAAAAAGTACAGATTTACAAAATGTGTATATTCTGTCATGAAAACTCCACACCAACATTATACACTTGGAAAAAAATACAAACAGGATATATTACAAATTTATGCAGCAATAACTTAGTTCACACCATGCAATAAAAAGTACATTAATCAAGATACACAAGCTTTTGTAGGTTCTAAACTGAAGGACTTTTTCTTTTCTCTCTGCAGAATCCTTAAAACCCGTGGCACTTAAAACTTGCTAGCCTTTCTACTGGGAGGTAAATTATACACAACAACGATGAAAAGATGAACAGACCGGGTGTCTATTAGGAATCATTCCAGCTTTGCTCAACAATGGCCGAAACTCTCTTCTCATACTCCCGTTTGTTTTCCTGATAAAGCTGTGCTGCTTGGCTATTGGCTGGACTGTTTGGATTCGGTTCATCCAACAGAGACTAGAAGAGAGAGAAGACAATGTTTTTCAGTTATGTGTTAAATTAACAGGGCCCAGATGAGGACTGAAAAATTACACAAAACAGAATCACTTCAAGTTCATGTCATCTTTTAGGTCTTAAACCTTCAGAAATGGTATGAAAAAAGTTTGCTCTGCTAAAGAACATAAGCTTCCAAAACAATTCCCAGTTGCCTTGAGACTTCCCATTTCAAGGAAACCAGCCAAGAACAATACTCACTAGCATATAAGAACTTCTTCACCATGAAATAAACATCTTATTTCGGTTAAACTATAACATCTGTAAATACCTTAATACCTTTTACTGCTATTAACTTTTTTTTTTTTTTTTTTTTTTTTTTTAGTTTTTCGAGACAGTGTTTTTCTGTCTAGCCCTGGTTGTGCTGAAACTCACTCTGTAGACCAGGCTGTCCTTGAACAGAGATCCGCCTGGCTCTGCCTCCCTGGTGCTAGGATTAAAGGTGTGAGTCACCACTGCCCAGCTCCACTATTATCATTGTTCTGTGGTGTTCAGGTTTCGGGCATGCAAGATAGGTGCTCTATTACTAACCCTAACCCTCAGGTCTGATTCTTATTATTGTGGTTACTCGGCAAATCTGTAGGTAAACTGGAGGATAAACCTTGTTCCTTTGATAAATAAAACATGTTTAGCAGGGAGGGAATGAAATAGTAAAGGTAGGTGTAAGTTGACCTTACAAGAGGAACAGAGAGTACTGAGCAAATTGCTCTTCTATGTAGAGTATACTTCTGAATATGTGGGACATGGGAACAGAAGTGGACTATGGTGGGGGTGGGGGACACAAAGGGATGGGACAGATGGACAGAGGATGAGCAGCACAGACAGGTAGTGGGAATCAGACATGAATAGGGTTCAACGATGTAGTATGGAATACAGTGACATACCCAAAGATGAGCAGAACAGCAGTAGGGTGAAAGACTCACAAAGATGGACATAAATTCAAATGTTTTTTCGCTCCTCTCAAATCAGCACAGCTAGAACAGCCTCTCCAGACTCATGGAAAGTTACTGTCCTCTTTTAAGAATACTTTCTTGAATAAGACAACAAAGGCACAGGTTCTCTGAACCTGGCACTTCCTTGAGGTCCTCACCATTTTCTAAGTAATCACCTTTACTTCTCCCCAAGATACCATGTGGGCAGGAGTAAGTCTGACCTGTGAGAATGTGTAGCACATAGTTAGGAAACAAACTGTGATTAGGCATGGTGGCACATGTACCCAGCACTTAAGAAGAGAGGCAGGAAAATTTAAAGTCTTCCATGGGTCAGGCTGGGCAACCCTCAAAATGGATTCGATTAGATTTCCTATGTGAGGTAACAAACATGCAGAACAGTCAGGGTCTGTCTCAGTGCAGCAGGAGTCTCTGGCACTGGTGTGCTCACCTGGCTTTCCGCTCTTGTAAGGACTGGTTACGTCCATACAACATGAAGAAGCTGCGATGCACCTCAACAGAGACTTACCTGAATTGAAGTTAAGATGGAAGAGACATCGTATGTGGGACTCCATCGGTTCTGCAGGATATCTAAACATATGCTACCGTCAGCATACACTGCAAAAACAACACTCAAATTACTTACAAGCAACTCACATCCCACACTACAAGCTCGTCAGCACACACACATACAGTATCCAACACCAAGACTCAAGTTCTGAATGTCAGGTAGTAACTAAACTCGTCCATCTTAGAGGGAAACTTGTGAAAAGTAATGTCTATCTCACTGCCCATCACACCTTTGGAAGGCTGAAAGAGATTTTTTCGGAAGCAACCATACATTAATCCATTTCAGGTCCAAGGTTGTAGCTCAGTGGGAGAGTGCCTGTTTCAGATGTGCAGGGCCTGGGTTCACTTCCCAGCACCCAAACCAAAACTACCCCATCTTTCTTAAGTCTCAAATAGAGCTCTTAAAAAACCTCACTCCTTGAGATGATTCTCAGGAGATTAACATGAATACATACAGAGATGTATTTGTAGGATATTAACAATTATATAATCAATGAGAAAAACCAGTAAACTTCCTGGTGGTCCAAAAAAGATATGCTAAAAAATGACACTTGTGCCTGGAGGTGCAAGCTCAGTGGTGGGGCATTTACACTCATGGACAAAGTCCTGGGTGAGGTTCCAAGCATTACAAAAAATAATCAATGATGACACATTCAAGGAACAATGATAGTGCAGTCATTAAAAATGGCATCCATCTACTGTGCTTGCTATGAAAACAAAGCAGCTTTGTAGACAGGTTCTTACTATGTAGCCCTGGCTGGCCTGGAACTTACTATGTAGACCAGGCTGGCCTTGAGCTCACAGAGAATGGCCTGTCTACCTGAAAAAAAGGTTAAAAATTATATCCAGTAATTCCATATTGTGATTTTTTAAAAAGTATATAAATACCTTCACTTTGGCTAAATGAGGCCACAAATATTTGAAAAATTAATGTTAAAATTTTAGCAGCTAAGACTGATAGCTGATCTTGTAATACATGCCTATCCCCCCAAATCCTGGCTACATACAAGCGGAAGAAAAACGCATGAAGTTATCATGCACTGAGAAACTTTCACCCTCTTAGGCCAATGTGTGGGCCTCATTCTTTTAGAAGTCCCATGGAGCCCAGGCCTGCCATGGAGCCTAGGACAGCACTGAACTCTGATCCTCCTGCTTCTCTCTACCTCCCAAGTGTTGGAATTACAGGCATGTTCCACTTCTCCTGACAAAACCACAAAACAAGAACATTTTCCACAGCGACAGAGCTGAGGAGAGATTATGTGTTTCAATCCTGCCTTTTCTTGGGCTCCATCCTTGGGCTTTTCTTCTTTCCACCCCACTACTGACCCCTGGGCAATTGTATCTACCCCTCTTGGCCTCATTTGTTCTCTGTGCTCAGTGCTGCTAACAGCCTCAGCTCAGATCTTCTGGCCTTAGAGTAAGTCAGCCACTTTTCATCCTTCCTACAGACTCAAATGTCACACCACTTCCCACAAGCAAAAAATAAAAAAATAAAAAGATAAAAAAGCAAAAGCATTTGATAATTTTAAAGTTTTCCACCAATTTTGTTTTTTGAAATGGTAAAGGAAACCTGGATCCAAATGCCCATCAATTATCAACACGGAAACAGAATATATCTAAATAGTAAAACACTATTCAAGCAATAAAGACAAAGTATAGCTACAAACAAGCCTAAGAGACAGACCATTTACACAGGTGATAAGTCAGTAAGGCCCGTGTGTTATAAGAATCCATTAATGCAAAGTGCCTTACTATATGTTCTGTCTCACAAGAGAAAAGGAAACCGGCCACTTTCAGTTTCAGCATGTCTGGACTATACCAGAGCGCTACTGAACTGTGGAATTTAATGTGCTGCACTTGTGTGACATGGCGTAACTGTGGAACGCAGTGGCGGCCCACACCTCTAATCGCAGCCTGGTAGGCGAGACAGGTAAGTAAATAAACAGGTATACATAACAAATAGAAATAGGCAGAAATGGACAAGCAGAAAGGTACACGTTACAGATGTGTGTGCCAGCCCTGCACTGGGACACGGTTCAGCTTGTAGAGCTTGCCTACTGTGTACGCTTGGGAATTTGATCCCCAGCACCACGTAAATTGGGCCTGCCCATAAGCACTCTAGGGACGATCACAGTCATGCCTGGATCCACGTCGGCCTGAGGGCCAGCCTGGCTATGAGATCCCATCATCTGTCTCTCTACTCACCTACATGTGCATACGTGTGCATGTGTGCTCAGGTAACATGTCTAGAGGTCAGAGGAGAGCCTGCAGGAGCGGGGTCTCTCATGGGAGTCCTAGGACTGAACTTAGGCTGCCAGACTTGGTGGCAAGATACCTTTTACCTACTGAGCCGATTTGTTTTGGGAGACAGGGTGTGATGAAGTCTAGGCTGGCTAAGTAGCCAAGGATAACCTTCAATTCCTGATTATCCACCGCCCTGGCTTGAATGTGTGGTTTTTTAAAAGCCAGATTTCAGGTGAATTTTTTTGTTCTTTTGTTTGTTCTATTTTTGCTTTGAGACAGTTTCTCTGTATAGCTCTGGCTGTCCTGGAACTCACTCTGTAGACCAGAATGCCTTGGACATGCAGAGATCCGGCTGTCTCTGCCTCCTGAGTGTTGGGTAAAACCACCAATGCCCAGCTGAAATTTTTGTTCTTTAAGTAAATAAATATTTATTACCTTACTACTTTCCCTCACAGAAGGAACCTTAAGATTCTATCAATGAGGGGATGGAAAGATGGCTCAGAGGGTAAGAGCACTGGCTGTTCTTCCAAAGGTCTGGAGTTCAATTCCCAACAACCAATGGGTGTCTCACAACCATGTATAATGAGGTCTGGTGCCCTCTTCTGCCCTGCAGGCACGCATGCAGGCAGAATACTGAATAAAAAAATAAAGAAATCTTAAAAAAAAAAAAAAAAAAAGGTTCTAGCAATGAAACTGTAGCTACCATGGGCATGGAAGCACTACTTGAAGACCAGCCCTAACTAAAAAACAAGCTTTATTCAAGGGGAGGGAACAAGCCCTCCCACCCCCTCATCCCATCACTGACAGAATCTAAGAAACTGCTACTTACCATTTGGATGAAACATTTTGGATAAAAACCTAACGGTTGGTGGTTTATTTGGATATTCTTCAGAAAATTCTATCACTAGTTTAAAAGTACCTGGACAGAAAACAAAGCAAAGTACAGTAAAGAAAAACATCACTTCTAAATTTCATCAAATACTTTTATTCTGCACAAGCACCTGTCATCCTGAGGAGTCTGCTTTAGCATACGAACAGCTAACCCACTTCCGTGAACAAATAACACTGGCAAGGGCTCAGGGGACAAGCACTTTCATGGGCTACTAGATTAGTGTGGTAAGTGGTAACAGTCATACCTGATTGGTTAGGTGTGTGTGATTTGTGTATGCAGGTTTATGTGTGAAGGTCAGAGGTCATTTTTGTTCTGGTTAGTTCTTTCCTCGCACCCATGCCCAAGTTCTGGGAATCAAACTCAGGTTGTCAGGGTTTGTGGGGTACGTTCCTTTACCCCCGGAGTCATCGCACCAGTTCCAACTGCCGTATTTTTGGAAGGCAACTGGGCCCTAGCTAATAAAATTTAAAAATACACACTTAGGGAACTAGAAAAATTTTTACAGCTTAAAAGGAGGGTGCCAAAGGATTCTGAGACAGTTGACTACCACCTGGTGAAGGACAACTTAGGCATGGGTGCTGATGTAGTTCTGTCTCTTTCATTTGAACATGTTAAGAACCAGTTATATAGTTCACATCTTCAGCTGTCATAGATTTGGAATACAGCCTCCATTTCATTACTTTTTGTTGCTGCAGGTGGTTGGGAATTTGGAATTAGAGGCCAAAGATATAAAACAAACAAAGCTAAGTCCTATCTCATACCTGCAACATATTAGCAGAGGTAACTAGACAGTTAACAAAGTTGGCCCTAAACTACTATGCTGAGGATCAAAACACAAGGGCCTCATGTATACCTCAAGCATCTACTCTTTGGTGATCTACATCTCCAGCCCTTACATGTTTTAAGTTTACAATTTCAGTTTTGCAATTATTAAAACAGCTACGCTACACAGTTGCAAGCAAAAGTATAGGAGAGTTAATCTTAAGGTTTTGCTCTCAGGACCACTTGGCAGATTAGCCCCACTATGGGGCAGGAACTGGAGTCAAGAAACTGAGAGGTGTACAGAACAGCATACACTATTATAACTCACCATGGTAACAGACAAAAGAACTCCAAGAACCAGATAGTACCAAGTGCAAGAAAAACTAAAAAACAATTTTGTGGCGTGAGTATTATAACTTTTTTGAGTATTACCACTTTGCTTTTGTTTTTCTTTTTGTTTTTGTTTTTTCTGAGACAGGCAAGGACAGCCTTGGTTGTCCTTGGGCGAGCTCTGCAGACCAGGCTGGCCTTGAACAAGAGATCCACCTACTCTGCCTCCCTGAGTGCTGCGATTACAGCTCCTGTCACCACGTACAGCTCTGTCAGTCATTATTTAAAGCGAACAGCAACCCAAGCTCTAACGAACTGAGCTGTGAAGTACATTTGATATACTTTTGAGGAACACCTCCATCACTGAAAATAATAAGGAGCAGACCAAGAGGTCCAAATGGAATTACACAAGCAACTCCAACTATCACCAAGCCATTTTAACATGCAAAGAACACAGCAACTGTCAGTACTGTGTGGGCCATAGTCTCAGCTTGTTCTTAAATGCTCAATTACTTAGGTACTGATGCAGCTTTTGCTGCTTTTGTACCAGCAAAAAAAGGTCAACACAGCACTGGTATCAAGATGGTCACATAGTCCCCTGAGAGGGGACTCAGACACCCTGAATGGAACATACCCTAGAAGTCCTGAGATAGCTAAAAAAAAAAAAAAAATGCTGTAATCATTCAGTACCTCCCTGGACTCCTTATGCCTATCTAGAAATAAGATGACAGTGTGGCGAATATCCCTAACGCAGATGTTTAGTAAGACAGCAATCCTAGTACTTGTAAGGGAGAGGCAGGAGTAGTTCTGAGTCCAGGCCAACAGAAGGGACTACAATAAAGTCCATCTCAAGTATGTAGATGCTAGATTTCACTATAGCGTGAGTCTAGAACCCATGTCCAGAGCAGCCATGGTATTCTTCAATAAGTACTTAGTACCCTGGAGTTCAAGCACAATACCATTTGCTTCTCAGCTTTCAGGTGGCACCCTCACAAACAGTTCACAGTGATTATTCTTGTCAAACAGATGGATCGCTGAACAGATGGATTCTGAAGGCATTCTGATAATTACAGCAAAGCTGTTTAATTTTAAAAAATCCACTATAATTAGAGAAAATCTTTAAGTACCTGCTTAAAAAAAATCAATGTAATAAACTTAACTGTGATTACAGCTTAGAACCATTCTCTCATTTTCTTGGCTCCTGTTGGGTATACCCAACCTGAGATGCAAATAAATGACTGTGCGCTTCTGGATGTTAAATGCTAAGCAGTGAAGCTACTGGTGGCTATGGGTTCAGAACTCAGGACAGCTTGGCAGCGGAGCGCTTGCCTAGAACACACAGAGCTCTGGGTTTGATTCCTAGCAGCAGAGGAAAAAAGAGAAAAAGAAAAGAACCTGACCCTTATCAATGCAGATAACCAAGTAGAAAAGTACAGCTACTCTCTTGGTATCACCTCAGGGACACCTTCTCTCTGGCCACCCAAATAGAAACTATTCATAACAGACCACCACTTAGATCTCCAGCTCTACAGGCAAACCATGCTGCAGAAAAAACTGGAGGCAGAGATGTCCAAGATATCTGCAAAAACGATTCTTGCAAACTAACTTTCCATTCACCAGCTTAGCATCCACAGGCTTTATTAAGCATAGAGCCTGTCTTCAGAAAGGTGTGTTGGTGTTCAAATCTCCGACCTAAAAGCATCCTTTTAATATACAGGAAATAATTAAGAATTACTCACCATCTTCAAAGGGCGTCCCTTCTGGTCTGAAAACAAAAAGACTTCTGATTAAAAGATGTTTTCACTCTGCTTTTTCTGGTTTCAAGGAGGGATAAAGTGGGTAACTAGAAAGGACCGCACTCACCCTGCTCCCTGGAGAGCTCAACAAACCAGCTCAGGCTTCTTACTGAGGGAGCAGAAATGACTTTCAATGTTTAAGTTTTTTTTTTTTTTTTTTTGAAAGGATAGATTTACTCAACAAACTTGTCTACGATTTTGTTGTACAAAGAATACAGTACAGCTAAGTGTACTCACCTTTAATCCTAGCACTGTTAAGGGAGAGGCAGGCGAATCTGAGTTTGAGGCCAGCCTGGACTACAGGCTACAGCCAGGGCTACAGAGAAACCATCTCAATTTTTTTTCTTTAATATTTTTTAATTTTTATTTTATGTACATTGGTGTTTTGCCTGCATGTGTGAAGTGGTCTAATCCTCTGAGGCAGGAGTTACAGACATTTGTGAGTTGCCATGTGGGTGCTGGGAATTGAACCCAGGTCCTCTGCAAGAGCAGCCAGTGCTCTTGCCATCTCTCCAGCCCTGAGAAACCGTCTTAAAAAACAAAAAACCCCACCACTACCAACAACAAAAAACAACAAAACAAACAAACCAACAAAAAACCTACCCAACCCCGGCAAAAAACAAAAAAACAAAAAAACAAAAAACAATAACCAACCAAAACCAACACAAGTGCCACAAACTTGTAATCTCAGATACTTAGGAAGCAAAGCGGGAGAATGTCAAAGTTTGAGGACTGCCTCAAACACAGTGTGAGGCCAGCCCGAGCAACTTGGCAAGACTGGCTCAAACCAAAATTAAAATAAATGGTGCAACACACATACACAGGAAAAAAAAAAAGGGAGGGGGGGAGGATTACAGCCCGTTGCTTGCTTAACCCTGCAGCAATCCTCCTGCCTCAGACTCCTGAGTGGTAGGATTTATTAAGTATGAGCCAGTATACCTAATAAGACAAGGTTTTGCTAAATAGCTGGCTAATTTGTGATACTTCTGCCTCAGTCTTCCAGGGGGTATGATTACAGATGACTGAGGCCAGGACTGCAAGAACGCTAGGCAAGCACTCCACCACCTGAGTTACATCCTCAGTACCCCCGGTTCTTAAATGTAGACTCTTGTAAGGTGCTCAGTGACTAAGAGTACTTGAAAAAAGAAGCTCTTACAGGAGCTTCGTTCCCAGCACCCCTACGGGCACTTCACAACTTCAGACCAGACTGCACCTTCTCTCTTGTACACATACCCCTTCAAATCCTAGTTTTTAATCAATTACGTGGATTTATCATAAAACCATACAACGGCCAGCTGCAGTGGCAAACTCCACAATCTCACACACACACATAATCAAAAAAATTTAAGTTTTAAATCGAAAAGGATATGCAGGGCTAGCAAGATGGTTCAGCAGGTAAAACAACTTGCCATGCTATCCCTTGTTGGAGGAAATGACTGAACACTTGCCATCTTACCTCTACAGTGAATGTTGTGGGTTACAAGAAACCACCCACAGTCACAAGCACGCACACATGCACACTTTCACACTCAGACAATAAACAAAAATTTAGGAAGGTATTTAGTACAGTGGCTCCCTAAAGCAAGAGGATCCTAAGTTTAAGGACAGTCTGAAAAATTCATGAAGATCGTTTTGCCTTTTTTGCTTTGGGAGACAGGGCCTTATTAGGCAGCCTTAGCCTCCAAGGGCTGAATCAAATGGCTGCATCCCAATCCTTGCCAGAAGTCCATCTCAATAAAATCTTCAAAGGGGCTGGGAGTGAAGCCCAGTGGTGGAGCATTTGCCTACAGTGTGGAACATGCTTGGGTTCAACCCCAGCATCACACAACATAAAACAACCGTTCTGTTCAGCGCTTCTCAGTGGGCTGTGCGCACTCCATCTTCAGCTGAAATTCTTGTCACAGTACTTCTGGCTCCAAGTGCTTTTACAGCTCCAACAGTATGAGCATAAACACTCGCGAGGCACACATTTTATATGAAGTAATTTATCTTTTCTTTATCGCCCTATTTAATTTCAAGTATTTACTTATCAGTGCTTGGGATCAAACCCAGGGCCATATGCGCGGCAGGCAAGCATTCTACCACTCAGTGTGCAAATCCTGGAACCAGTCACCTGAAGTGACCGTAAAGAGCCACTGCCAGGTAGTGTCATTCGCCCACAATCTCAGCTACACCAGAGGGCTAAGGCAAGAGGATCCTTTCAGTCCAGTTCAAAATCACCCCAGGCAACATTGCAACATCCTGGCCCAAGAGAAAGAAACCAGATTAAACTATATATAACAGCAAGGAACAAACCAATTTTATGTAACTGTCCCAGACTCAATAAATGTTTCAGGGGCTGGGTGTACAGCTCGGCGGAGGAGTGCTAGCAAACACACGAGGCCCTGGGTTCTCAAAGAGTGGCATCCCCCCACCCAGCAGGTTTCGGGTTCGACCCCAGCCTTCCCCCTAGTGCTTATACTTACTTTTCTTACTTGAGTCCCTATGCAACTCACCCAAATATAACTGCGTTCCACTGCATGATGTTGTTCTCAGATGGTGCACCACTGACCCCCACAGGCGGGTCCTCTTGCAATCTAAAAATCCAGAGTGGTCATTTTCAAAGTTGAACATAAAGGTCAGTGAGGTCAAATTCTACTGAGCCTATTCTGAGACGGGCTAGACTGACTTGTTGTCTAGGCTGGAATGAACCACGACTTAAAGAAATCAGCCAGGTTAATCCACTTATTAATACTACGAGTGATCTATAAGTCCAAAGGGCTAAAAGATCATCCCTCTTCAAACAGCAAGATCTAAGATACGGTCTCTTGAAGAACTCATGCTTCCCGACTCCCCTCTTCACCCTATTCAAAGTTTACAATAGCAGCAATAAAAAAACACTTTTGGGGAACCTGCAACTTATGTCAGGTGGAGGTGGTGGTGGCGAACGTACACCCAGCACTTGGGAGGCAGAGGCAGCTGGATCTCTGTGAGTTCAAGACCAGCCCAGTCTACAAAGTGAGTTCCAGGATAGCTAGGGTTACAACAGATAAACCATGCCTTGAAAAACAAACAAACAAACAAACAAAGAACCACAATAAAATCAAACAATAAATAAAAATAAAAAAAAGAACCCGCAACTTTCCTATCTTAATCATGGAAGGTTCCCCAGTCCTCGGGAGACCAATGAACAACACATAAAACTATAGGAAATCTCTGTACACACCAAATGACCAAAAATCATATTCAATTTAACTAGAAAGCAAGGTTACTTTATGGCCTGTGCTTCAGACAGTGGCTTTCTAATGTAGAAGCTCCAGTTAGCTTTTCCAGCAGTTGTATTTTTAAGATTCTGCTCTCAGGCCAAATCTTCCTCTCAGACCAGACTTCATAGAAAGCACCATCAAATTCTTGTGACCTCAAGATGTGTGGAAATCCACCAAAGGCACGGCGTAGTCCATTTAGAATCAAGTACAGAAATTACAAAAATGAACAAGTGATAACAAGTGGGAAGTTTTATTTGCATTTCAGTCATGGAGCTAATCAAATATTGTGACTTCAAGCCTTGGGTGACTTTTGCAACAAAAGGGGCATCTCCTTGTCTATCAGATCATTAAAACAAAACAAAACCTGTCCACTACACACACACACACGCACACAAAATATGTCATTTTCAAGTGGTGGGAAATTTGGCGATCAGTCCACTTAAGAAAGTATAGTTTGGTCAACTGCAAGCAGATTAGGCCACTAACAGGCCTGAAAGGAACTCCTTACTGCTCGACTCCCCACTTTCAAGTGGCTAAAAACAGCAACGAATGAAACGATGAAGTTGTCTAGAGCCCAAGACAATGGCTTCCAAATGCCTCCTACAGGGCTTTATAATGGCGAAGTTGAGAAGTTACTTCCTGAGTGGCAAATATAAGTTTTATATTACAGATTTGTCTCAGTCACGGCAGGTCTGACCAGGAAAGAAAACTTAGGACAATCTTGACACTGGATTTCACGTACTGTTTCTGCACTTGTACGTTTCCAAGGAGAGGTAAACAGGTGGAGGGAGAGGGAGAGGTCCTTTTCTTCCTCCGAGCCCCACATTTTCCGAACAAACCCCTATTTTCCAAAAGGAGGCCCAGGTGGAGTATCAGATTAGCTGCAGTCTGACGGGAGGCATTTTTCCAGGCTGGGGAGGCTATAGATAGGCCTTTATTCGGCAGCCAGATCTTAGTTCCAGAAGGCACTGGCAGCCCAGAGTGGCCAGCTCCGGGCCCAGGGTTCCCGAGCCAGTTCTCAAGGTCCTTCCAGGTGGGCGGGGGCAGGGTCGGGTTTCGGGGGATGGGCTAACCACCTCCGGACCTCGCGCACCGGACCCCACCCTCACCACTGCAGCAAGGGAAGGGACGTGGGGCAGCCTTCACCCCAACCCCGACAAAAGCAGGGACGGCGGGGCCCCGTAACAAAGCTGGACCGGTCCCCGGCCGGGGAGGGGACGCCGCAGGGTGCAGAGGCGGGAGCCGAGGGGTCGGCATCTGGCCGGGGTGGATCTCCGGGGACACCTAGGCCCGGCGACAGCCACCTTCCTACTTTTGGTGGTGGCGGGGGGGAAGGGCAGGAGGCTGGGGTACCGACCGTCTTTCCTCAAGAGGGAGGTACGAGGCGAGGGAGCAGGAGCCGCCGGTAAGCCGGGGCTCCCGCGGGCCCACGCAGCCCGCCCCCTCAGGGTCACGGGGGGGGGGAGACCTCTCGGATCCCCGCCCTGCAGTCCCACGGCTCCGGGAAGGGGCCGTCGTGTCGGGCTAGGGCGAGGGCTCTTACCGCTTGAAATCTCGCATGAGCCTCCTACGGGCCGGGGTCGACATGCTCCGCAGCTGCCCCGCGGTCAGTCTGAAAGAAAAGAGTCCCGTTCGGCCCCCCCACCCCCCGGCGCAGCGGCCGAATCACTGTGGGTCGCCGCCGCCGCCGCCGCCGCCGAGACTGCACAAACAACCCTGCAATGACGTCTCCCTCCGCCGCCTCCGGATCCCTCCGCCCTCCGCCGCTACCACCGCGGGAGGAGGGGCGGGGGCGGGGCGAGCGGGCGCGCGCGCGGCGCCGG